CCCCCCCCGGCCCCGGTACCATGGCTAAGAAGCTATCAGAAGTGTCCTTGAGGGGAAACTATCTTTGCCGCGCACTTTCGAGAAAAAACTATCAAAGCCGCACACTTTTTGACGATATCGATACAATTAGATTGCCATTTCCATCCAACGGTTACAGTACCCTTGACCAAATTACCCAGTTCACCCCCATCCAAATTTTAATGTATTCATCTTTCTGCAGATACTAAGCAACTTCCAGACTGTTTCTAAGCCGAAGCTAAAAACACAGACCATCGCTTCGCAGCCTTTTGGCTAAGCTCAAGTGTAGTGTCTGTTCCCGATTTTACCTCCGGCCTTGTGTCCCCTGGTTAGCGGGACGACAGACATTGCTGAAGCTGAAGAGGCCTGGAGAAATCCGGGTCTCGATTATATCAAGTAGATGGATTACCGTCCTCTTAAAGGGAGGGGGGGGGGGGGGGCTACACCCCCAAAATCAAAATTCGGCTCAAAATCATGGAATTTGAGTTGTAGGCATTTTTACCTTCCTCAGCCTCTCCTACAACTATTTCATGGCATAAGAACCCCCCAAAACCGTAATTTTTTCCCATACCGGGCCTGTTTGTAACCGCCATTTCCTCATAAAGTCAGTATTTTATTTTTCTTTATCGGCCGTTTTCTCAAAATTCGACTTTTCTCTATACTTTTTTGAATAACTCAAACCATTTTTCATCCAATCTTCATGAAATTTTCACAGAATGAAGAGAAGAGGTAATACTTAAAAATTTTCTGTTGAATTTTTGATATATGGAAGCAAGAAGAAAAACAAAAACAAAAATACACAGACCAAACACAAAGGCACTACCCAAGAAAGAAGGAAGAATGTGTAACAAGCAAATGTACGCACAGATGGACAAGTCTCACAACTTCAATTTGTATCCTGAATGAGCAAGAAAATGCTGCCCCAACACTTTAAAGATCGCCCTTGTCCTGTAGATGTTTTTATACCTGGAAAACCTATTCATTCAAAACAAAATCAAATTGATATTTGGTTTTTGGCCCAGTAAAAGCAGAGGGTACTTAAATTGTTGGATGGTAACTGTTTTGGTAATCGGCAGTCGGCTGGTATTGATAATATCGTCAAAAAGTGCGCGGCTCTGACGGTGCTCGGCTTTGATAGTTTCTTCTCGAAAGTGCGCGGCTTTGATAGTTTCTTCTCGAAAGTGTGCAGCTTTGATAGTTTCTTCTCGAAAGTGTGCAGCTTTGATAGTTTCTTCTCGAAAGTGTGCAGCTTTGATAGTTTCTTCTCGAAAGTGTGCAGCTTTGATAGTTTCTTCTCGAAAGTGTGCAGCTTTGATAGTTTCTTCTCGAAAGTGTGCAGCTTTGATAGTTTCTTCTCGAAAGTGTGCAGCTTTGATAGTTTCTTCTCGAAAGTGTGCAGCTTTGATAGTTTCTTCTCGAAAGTGTGCAGCTTTGATAGTTTCTTCTCGAAAGTGTGCAGCTTTGATAGTTTCTTCTCGAAAGTGTGCAGCTTTGATAGTTTCTTCTCGAAAGTGTGCAGCTTTGATATTTTCTTCTCGAAAGTGCGCAGCTTTGATGCTCTCCCTTCATGAGTACCTTCGTAGGGTTACCACTACAATGTGTAATTTTCAGAAGATTGTGTGTGTGTGTGTGTGTGTGTGTGTGTGTGTGTGTGTGTGTGTGTGTGTGTGTGTGTGTGTGTGTTTGTGTGTGTGTCCACGCACGTGTGTGTAAGAGAGAGAGAGAGAGAGAGAGAGAGAGTAAGAGAGATAAAGAGAAAAAAAAGAAAGAAAGAAAGAAAGAGAGAGAGAGAGAATGAGAGAGAGAATGAGAGAGAGAGAATGAGAGAGACAGACTGAGAGGGAGAGTGAGAGGGAGAGATAAAGAGAAAGAAAGAGTGAGAGAGAGACTGAGAGAGAGATTGAGAGAGAGAGAGAGAGAGAGAGAGAGAGAGAGAGAGAGAGAATGAGAGAGAGTGAGAGGGAGAGATAAAGAGAAAGAAAGAGTGAGAGAGAGACTGAGAGAGAGAGAGAGAGAGAGAGAGAGAGAGAGATTGAGAGAGAGAGAATGAGAGAGAGAGTGAGAGGGAGAGATAAAGAGAAAGAAAGAGTGAGAGAGAGACTGAGAGAGAGATTGAGAGAGAGAGAGAGAGAGAGAGAGAGAGAGAGAGAGAGAGAATGAGAGAGAGTGAGAGGGAGAGATAAAGAGAAAGAAAGAGTGAGAGAGAGACTGAGAGACAGATAGAGAGAGAGAGAGAAAGAGAGAGAGAAAGAGAGAGAGAGAGAGAGAGAGAGAGAGAGAAAGAGAGATAGAGAGAGAGAGAGAAAAAGAGAGAGAG